GGGAGAAGGGAAGACAGGAGAGGAGATAGGAGAGGGGAGAAGGGAAGACAGGAGAGGAGATGGGAGAGGGGAGAACGGAAGACAGGAGAGGAAATAGGAGAGGGGAGAAGGGAAGACAGGAGAGGAGATAGGAGAGGGGAAAAGGGAAGACAGGAGAGGAGATAGGAGAGGGGAGAAGAGGGAATAGGAGAGGGGAGGAGAGGAGATAGGAGAGGGGAGATGAGGGGATAGGAGAGAGGATAAGAGAGGGGAGGAAATAGACGAGGAGAGGAAAAGGGATAGGGGGAGATGAGGAGGAGGAAAGGGATGAAAATGGGATAGGAGAGGTGGAGGAGAGGGGAAAGGAGAGGAGAGGGGAGGTGGTGGGATAGAAGAGATAAGGAGATAGGAGAGGAGAAACGAGAGGAGAGGGGATAGGAAAGGAGAGGAGAAGGGAGGACAAGGGGTGGAGAGGGGATAGGGAGGGGGTGGGGAGTGGAGTGAAGGAGATTGAGAGAAGAGGAAAAGAGAGGATAGATAGAAGAGGGAGGGAGAGGGGAAGGAAAGGGATGAAGAGGGGTAGGAGAGAGGAGAGGATGGATAGGAGGACATGGAATAGGAGAGGAAGAGGAGAGGATAGAAAAGGAGAGGAGATGAGCTAGTAGAGGGAAGGAAAGAGATAGGAAAGGAATGGAGAGGGGATGGAAGAGGGGAGGAGAGAGGAGGATAAAGAGAGAGGAGGATAAAGAGTGGGGAGGGGAAGGGGTGGAGGTGGGGGTGGAAAAGGTGGTGGGGTGAAGGGGAGGAGACGGAGAGGAGGAAGGTGATAGGAGAAAGTAGGAGAGGAGGGATAGGAAAGGAGAGGAGAGAGAAGAGAGGACGAGAGGAGGAACAGGAGTGGGGAGGAGAAATAAAAGAAGGGGGGGGGAGGGGAGGGGAGTGGAGTGGGGGGGGGAGTTGTGGAGAAGGTGGAGGGGAGAAGAGGCTGTGGAAGAGGGGGGGGGGGTTGTGGCGAAGGTGGTGGACAAGTGGAGAAGAGAGGAAAATAATAAGATAATAGATAAATAATAATAAGAGGAAAAGAAGGAGAGGAAGAGATAAAAGGAGAAAAAAGAAGAAGAAGGAGGAAGAAAAGGAAGATAAGGAAAAAGAAGAAAAAGAACAAAGAAAAAACAAAAAAGAGAAAAAAAAGCAAGAGAAGAAGAACAGACATAAGAATAACAATAATAAGAATAGAAAGAAGAAGAAGAAGAAGAAGAAGAAGAAGAAGAAGAAGAAGAAGAAGAAGAAGAAGAAGAAGAAGAAGAAGGAGAAGAAGAAGAAGAAGAAGAAGAAGAATAGAAAGAAGAAGAAGAACAGACATAAGAATAACAATAATAAGAATAGAAAGAAGAAGAAGAAGAAGAAGAAGAAGAAGAAGAAGAAGAAGAAGAAGGAGAAGAAGAAGAAGAAGGAGAAGAGGTCCAGAATCCCACCTCCCTCCCTCCCAGTCTCAGAGCAACCTTGAAATACATCCGGGTATTAAAATGCCACCTGAACTTCATCGTAAATTGTGTCTCGAAACCCACGTCGGCTCCCCCCCCCCCTTCCTTACCCTTACCCCTACCCTTAGCCCACTCCTAACCCACCCCTAGTCCATCCCTAACCCCCCCCTAACCTACCTCCCCTTAGCCATTACCCATACCCCAAACCTTCTAACCACTAACCCAACTCTAGCCCACCCACTCACCCTCTCACCCGTCCTTGGCCCACCCTTAACCCACCCTTAACCCACCCCTAGCCCACCCCTAATCCACCCCTAACCTACCCTTAACCCATATCTTCTAACCCACTCCTGGCCCAACCCATACCATCCAACCCACCTTCAAACCCACCCCTAACCCACCCCTAGCCCACTCCTAGCCCACTCCTAACCCACCCCTAGCCCACCCCTAGCCCACTCCTAACCCACCCCTAGCCCACCCCTAGCCCACTCCTAACCCACCCCTAGCCCACCCCTAGCCCACTCCTAACCCACCCCTAGCCCACCCCTAACCCATATCTTCAAACCCACCCCTAGCTTACCTCTAACCCACCCCTGACCCATACATTCAAATCCACACCCAGCCCACCCCTAGCCCACCCCTAATCCACCTCACCCACGTCGCCTCGTCCGCCTCCTCCCTTTTTTTCTTTTTCTTTTCTTTTTTTTCCTTTTCCTTTGTTTTCTTTTTTTTTTTTTTTTGCTTTTGCTTTTCATGAGGCCGGGTGGTGGTGGTGGTAGTAGGGGGAGGGGGGAAGGGGAGAGGGAGAGGGGAAGGGGAAGGGAAAGGGGAAGAGGAGGGGGGAGGGAGAGCTAGAGGGGAAGGGAAAAGGGGAAGGGAAATGGAAGAAGGTAGGAGGAAAGGGAGAGGGGAAATAGAAAGGAAGGCGTAAGGGTAAAGGAAAAGAGGGAGGGGAAATGGAAGAGGAAAGGGGGAGGGAAAGGGAGAGGGAAGGGGGAAGGGATGGGGAAGGGAGAGGGAAGGGGAAGGAGTGGGAG